GCTCTGTTTACTCCTTTTGTGGGTCTCTGTGATTTCTCAAAAGCTTTCCAAAATGGGACAGGTTTTGCAAGAAGCTGGGGAACAACTTGGATAACCAGGGATTTCTGAATCTATGATATTTATGAGTCTCCGACATTCTCCACTCTTCAACCAAAAAGTTGAACTCCCATATTTCTAACCCAAGTTGAGAATATCTTTTACTGCTTAAAGTTGAATTCTGGGACTCTTGAAAAAAATTCTTGAGTCATAAATAACTCTAAAGCTGCAATATAAATTCATAAAAACTCACCATTTTTGTTACCCTTCCAGACACGGGTGCAGAAGCAAATGGATTCTTCCATAGAGCAGAATAGCTAACAGCACAGAGTCTGGCCTCAGGACTCCTAGGTTTGAATCCCAGCTTCATCACTTACAATTAAGGGGCCTTAGCCAATGCACAGCCTCCAGAATGAAAACAACCCCAGAATTTGCTTCATGGGGCTGTGGAAGTGATTTGATAAGACAATGTACGAGAAAAGCTTAGCACAGTGCCTGGTGCATATTAAGTACTCACTGAATGTCAGCTGCTATTAACACTATTAATATCATTAAAGTACTTAGCTTGTGAAGAAGCCTAACCTACCACATACATCAGCCCAACTTGGTTTAGACTTGGTCTTTGTTCTGTTCATTTCATGGGGGACGCTAAATATGGCATATTGGGTAAGTTTTAGGATGCATTCCTTTTGAATATCATGGGGAAATGTACTTTAAAACTCCTGTTGCAAGTCTAGCACTCTTTTAGATGCTTCTTTTCCCCACTGACTGATTTGCTATTGCACGCAAAAGCTGTCAAAAGAGAGACATCCAAACCATCTGGTTTCCTTGCTGAGTTGTTTTCATTCTGCCCTTCAGTGAGAAACATTTGAGTTTTAAAAAATTCATGAGTGATACCACACCAGTGGGCTAATTTTATCCCTAATGATGTGTATTATACTTACTAGGATTCATGCTTTCTAGAAATGCCAGAAATGAAAATCTTAAAAAGTAATTTTTTTCATTCCATTTCTTCATTTTATTCCTTAACACTTAGAAGTAGCATTTGAATAAAAACATCATTTTTACTACCAATGACAATATAAAAGTTATGTGCTGAGTATTAAAGTAGTATAACATCGCACATTAATTTAAAAATTAAGCACCTACTGGGTGCTAGGAAGGGCTGTGGGACACAGGGTTTATAGTAGTGAGTCAGAACTAGATTTTGCCCTAGTAAAGTTTACAATTGACTGGAGGGGGACCACTATTATAACAATTGTGGTAAGGTTAAACCATGTAAAATTGCCAATAGGTTAGCATTTCTTTCCTCCAAAATGGCAATTTCATGTGATTCAACCTAGTGTTATGAGGAGTGCTATGAGGGATTACATGACTTTACAGGACTGTGTCTTGGGGACTCCAGGGATGACTTCTGAGGTTTAAGGATGAGTGTGAGCTGGGTAGGTAAGGGGGGGGGGGTAGGTATGGGGACTAGCAAGGGTTTGAAGAGTTGGGAACAACATGTGCAAGATGAGGTTGACAAAAGGAGCCAAAGTCTTCCTTATAGGACGTACTAAGAATATTGGACTCAATCCTACCTTAGTTGGAATATTGTTTAGAGGTTTGAGCAGGAAGGTGATATGATCAAATTGTGTGTTTTTAAAAAGTCACCTTGCCTGCCATGAGAGCTGCATTGATTGCAGCGGGCAAGAGCGGATGGGACGAAGTCAGCTGGGAGGCTACTGCTGGCATCCAGGCAGAAACTGGTGGTTGGCAGTTTACAAGAAGTTCTCAAATCTAGTATCATATTTTACCCTTATAACAGTTCTAACACGAGGTGTTGATATCAGCTTCAGTCACATGGCATGTGCAGGGTCAGATGGTGCTGGTGGCAGTGACCCTTGAACTCTGTGGTATGACCCTTGCCCCATGGTCTCCTGGGAGCTTTAGGCCCATTTTCCAATATCTCTGAGTGTGCACAATTGTTTTCTCATAAGAAAGGATTTGCTTATAAGAAACAGAATTCTCATCCCTTAGGGGTGGAGGGGGGAGATGAAAGGTTACTTAGCCTAGTTTTATGACTGAGAGTTGAGAAGCAAGCAGAAAGTAACATGGAACTTGATATTAAATTAGAGCATCTTTTTGGGAAAAAAAATACATTTATTAATTGTATGTATTTATTTGTACCCTGCCTCATTCCAAAAATGGATTTGAAACAGCTTTTAAAACTACATATGGTATGACAAAAAGAGAAGGTAAAAAATCAGGGTAGGCATATTAAGATGATGCCACAGGTGTCTTAAGTCCAACAAACATTCGCATAATCACCTTTAAGATTCACATGCCCCTCTCCCCCAATAAAAATAAACCTAGTGTCGTGCTCAGAGTAGCTTTTCCTTCTACTGGAATCTAGAAAATTTTCCCCATTGGGTCTTCATAAAGACTCTATCGTGTAATGAGCAACACCCAGACCTGTTTCACAGAATGAGCAAGTGAATGAATTAACCCAATTCATGTCCGGAGACCATTTCCTATTAGTATGCCGAGTTATGCGACCTTTGGTAAAAGTTTCCTCCACAGTAAAGTGAAAAATTTGGACTAGAGCTAGACTTCTCAAAGTGGGTGCCTTGGGGTACCTAATAATGTGACAGGAAGAATGTGAAGCCATAGGACAAAATGGCATATGGGTTTTGCTTGAAGATTTTTATGGCAAAACAACATTAAAATTTTTTATGAAATACATTTGGAGTTGTCTGGAAACATACAATTGAACCTATGTGTTTCATTTTGGGGAAAATTCCTGTTTCTTGAATAGACATTAGAGGCACATCAATAACCCCCTTTCCTTTATGAAGATATAATACAAAACTATGTAAAACCTATAGTCTTGTTTATATATTAGTAATTTGCTTTCAATTCGTGGAGTGTACATGTCCATTACCATGACACTATTTTTTAAAGGAGGACATTTTGCCATTATGCAAAGAGAGACAACTCACAATTCTGCACAAATAATATGTTCCAGGAATGGTGCTTTATAAATATTTTCTCTGTTCTCCATACAGTTCTGCAAGGAACTATCTCCACGTTATGGATGCAGAAAGTGAGGCTCAGAAAAGTTAAATAAATGTGTCTGAAGTAAGTTAGCTAGTAGATGAATAGTGCAGGCGTCTAAGTTTTATTCTGTTGCCTCAGCAGGGTAGGATTAATTTCAGGAGCAGCTTGTAATTTGCACATTTATTTTGACTTATCAAACACTGTGATGTTGATCATTAGGTGTTATCCAGGATACAGACGGGGGTGTAGGTTATATACTTCAGCAGTAACTTAACAGCTGTTGCTCTATGATTTATTTGAGGGTGTGGTAGTTTCCCCCCCAGTAAATCATTGATAATACGGATTAAAATCAGCTCCTTGTTTTGTTTTATTGCATGTGTTCCCAACAAGGCATGAATCCCACTGAATGCTTTGCCAGTCATTGCAATATAAAGATAGTCAAGGCAGAATCATTTTGGAGCTGCGAAGTCTTCAGGGGCCATTTAATCGGCAAGTTCAAACTGTGGTCTCTGTAGTCCCAAAGGCCCTGTGAGGTCCCCTCATGGCTCCCGTGGATGATGGAGCAGAATCGGTGATGAGCTGGAGGGGCCTGCCACATCATCCCGCCTCCACTTCAGCCAGCTCCTGCTTTTTCGGTTTTGTTCCTGCATCTAGGCACATGTGTGATGGAAGAAAGGGTGCTATCTCTAAAGAAATAAACAAAACAAAAGTTAAAAACAAGTTTGAAAACAACTGGTCATCCAACTTCTTATTTTCTTTAAGGGAACAAACTTTGGCTCAGATAGGAGAAATGATTTACCCAAGAACACAGAAAAAGTCATGGCAGAGCTAAAATTAAAACTATCAAACCATCATGTTCTACATTGATATACAATTATATTTATATACAATTATATTGGTCAATAAAGTTGGGAAAATTAAAAAAGCATAAAAAAACTAGTCCTCTAGTTCCCAGTCTGGTGCTGCAGCCACCGTGCCATATTGAATCTTATGCAGCTCAAGGAGGGCTCTCCGTTGTTGGGAGGGAACATTCTTAACGTTGGGCTGATTATGTATCCAGATGTAAAATAAAGGTAAAAGCTTTGTGCTTAGGGTATATTTTAATGTCTCACCCGAAATACCCTTCTCTTGAACTTAAGTCTCCTAAATGTGAATATTTTCTGTATCATGACTTTAAAGTCTCTTATCTTAGGATCCCAAATCCTGTGGGACTCTCCATGCAAAGAACATTGTCAGCAGCGTCTCAACTACACATTTAGGGCAGAAAACCAAGTCACTTTCACAGCAACTCTCATCAGTTGGCAGTGATGGTGGTTGTTGTTTCAGTGGTTCTGAGATCCTCCCTGGATTCACAGGATAGAGTGTGATGATCTATCAGTGATGAGTAGCAGAGCCCCCCAAATGAGGAGGGGCAGCCCATGAGCTAGATTTATCAGCCCTGTAAAGTGAACCACCTCACTTATTAAGGGTCTATAAGCATACACTATAGACTATATCTATATTCCTTCCTAAACATATATTGTTCATCTTGAAGTCATGAGTGCTCTAAAGAAGGGAGAGGAGGAAATACAAGAAATGGAAGAAATTGGTCATCTTCTTATTATGGTCCCATTCAAGGACAGGAAGAAGGAAAGGGGTTGCATTTCTTGGTTTGTAGCTAACATGATAGAGAAATGGTAGTCCATTTTCCTTTGAAAGAAAATGGCCCCAAATTTTGTAATGCATGTATGAAAATTATATTGAAGTAGAAAACATTTCTAGCAATTTTTTTTTTTTTACCCATAGGATTTGCTTCAAAGGGCACTCCAAAAATTGAACTGAGAAATTCCAAGCAAGCTGCCTGAATTTCCCTGTAAATTCTTGGTCTACATCCTGTAAAGGACCAGACAAGTCAAATTGGTGGTTTTTTGGTGAGTACACCTGCTGGTATCCTTTTCTTCTTAAGGAAAACCATACTTTTTCATTCCTATCAATGAGGTATCTGCTGCTTAGACAATGTGCACCTGGTGTGTCGTTTTGTGGCAACACGAGTGGCTATACACAGTAAGTTATTTTGAACCCACAATATAAATCCTTATTTCTCTGTTTAGTTTACATCTTGGTGGCCCAGGAGGAAAAGACTACTGCTGCTGTATGCATGTGTGAGCATCTTAGGAGAGATGAGGAACAATTATGTATTGCTTATAATTTGTCTTTTACACCCACAAATAGAGATCAAGGGTATGTCAATCAGCATTGTCTTCAAAAGGGTTGGACACAAGGAAGGGTTTTGGTACAAGCTACAGAAGATGATTGTATTTTCTTGAACAATTCTCACGCCTTTTCTCATTTGTTACTTCACCTGTCGGATGATGTCAAAGTAACTATCAGAACCGCTAACTCATGGCAATCCAATTACAACATATGGAAATACACTTCCACAACTATATAATTCACTACAGATAGGAGGCATTATTATTCTGTGGGTGATAATTTTATGTACGCTATGGCAGGGATGGGAAACAAAAGAAAGTGGTAACTGGTATCATCTTCACCTGGAGCCTTGCACGGCCAGCCCTCCCCAGTTGCAACCACAGCCCTCACATAGATCTGGAAGGTAGAGGCCATAGATCCTTGTATGTCAGGGAGGAGTCCTGGTGACACTTATGTGCCCAACAACTCCTCACGCCCCCAACGCAACCCAAAGTCCCTTCTCATATCCTCTAGGCTGGGATCTGGACTGAATTCAGGGACTTAGAGAGCCAAATTTTTTTTAATTATAATTTTTTTCTTTTTATAAAAGCATATTTATTAAAGGGAACCTGGAAAATAAAGAAAAAAATATAAAATTACTTAAAATACCACATTCCAAAGAAACCACAATTAACATTATGGTAAATTTATTCCTTTTTTGTTTGTTTTTCAACTATTTTATATATATTCTAAAATATGATTTTACAAGGTAAACATAATTGAGAACATGAAATTAATATTCTAGTCTACAACTATGCCATAATTTATTTAGCCATTTTCATACATTATGTTTGCTATATCACATATAAATATATACTATTACGTTCATTACATTACGTTACAAATACCACTGTAGTGAACCAATTTGACTATGCATTTTACTTGTGTCTCTGATTTTCTTGGGGTAAACTTCCCTAAATGGAATTTTAAAAGGCTAATGAGAATGAACACTGTAAAGCTCTTGATATATTCAAACTGTCCTCCAGAGATGAGCAGCCCATTACCTATTACACTTGTCCTCCCACTACATATAACTGTTCATTTCACTGCACGCATGTAATGATTGAGATCTATCATTTTAAGGTTTAAAATCATAAATATTTCTACAGAAGTTCAGGAAACAAAAGCCTGTTCCCTCCCCTGGCACACCCCAGCCTTAACCAATATCAGGACTCTAAAGTAGAAGACAGTGTCATTTGATTGACATTGTACGTCAGCATCAATCTCTCAGATCTGTTTATAGGGAAAAGCATATGCGAGGCTTGCATTTATTCAGTGGGTATTATCACCACTTTTGTTCATTTCTATACTATGTGCTTCAGGGGAACAAAAGAACATCTTTTCATTGTCTATGAGAAGCTTAATTCAGTTGCGAGTCCAAATAGCCAACTTAAAAATACTTACCCTTGGGTAGGTCACTTACATTCTCAAGGACTGTTTCTTCTTTTAAATGAGAGACTCAATTTGTCTCTATATAAAGAGTATCTGAAGGGGTTATTAGTAAACAGATGTGCGTGCAATTAAGGCCATTCATTATCTAGCTGTCTAAACTTAACTGTGAACACCATAATGTGTTTTGTCACTTCTCGGGCAATGGACGCACGTCAGTTTAGGAGAGAGTTTCCCCAGGAAAATTTTTCAGTATGGCCTCTAAGGTTTCCTCTAGCTCTAACATCTGTAATTCATAAATAACAGATAAACTACCAAAGGATGAGAACCCCAAAGCAAAGGAATGGCCAGTGGGCTTCACAGAAAGGCTTGTAGAATCATGACCAGAATTTTAAAGGTGATAGAGTCTACGGTTCTGTCTAATCTTCATCCTCATCCTGGTACCTATTGCCTCCCACCCCCACCCCAACACACATTCACTAAAAGTCTACATTTGAAACACACCAAACATGTTTAAAGGGTAAATAAGCTTGTGAGCCCTGGCCAAATAGTTCAGTTGGTTACAATGTCATTCCAATATGCCAAGGTGGCAGGTTTGATCCCTGGTCAGGGCACATATAAGAATCAACCAATGAATGCATAGGTAAGTGGGACAACAAATCAATATCTCTCTCTCACCTCCCCCCTCTTCTCTCTCAGAAAAAAAAAAATAATTGCATGAATATTTAGCTAGCCTTAACCACCTACACCTGCCAGAAATGTTAAAATTGTGTGACTACACTACTGAGCTATACTGAGCAATTTCAGGGAGACTAGGCCAAACTTTGTGAGAAATTCTGCCACCTGCCAACTAATCTTTCTCTCTGAGGTAGAGTGTCCCTTGCATATTAGCATAGAGTACATACTTCATAAATATTTTTTGGATTCCTCTCTACTCAGATTTTTTTTGCCACTTTGTAATACCGGTTTGGCTTTGTGCTTTAAAAAATATATATTTACATATGTTGGGACAACTTCCAAAACCTAAAAGCATGAAGGAATTGTAATAGTTCCCCAACTGGCTGTAATCTCAATCTTCGAACAACACAGACACTTTTTGACTATATTTCACACAGTTAAAAAGTCTCATTTGCTAATATATTGGCCATTTGTCTTGCTTTGCAATTTGAATTGCAAACATGAAGAAAAAGCTGTATAACCTATAACATCATTTTTCTAATTGATTTTCCCATCTTGTAAAAATCTGCGTTTTTTTAAAATTTCATACTAGAAGCCCAATGCACGATATTCGTGCAAGAGTAGGCCTTCCTTCCCGCGGTTGCCAGTACCGGCTTCCCTCTGGCACCCAGGACCCGGGCTTCCCTCGCAGCCTTGGCTTCGTCCTGAAGGTCGTCCAGTCTAATTAGCATATTATGCTGTTATTATTATAGACTAGAGGCCCGGTGCACAAAAATTTGTGCACTCAGGGGGCAGAGGGGGTCCCTCAGCCCGGCCTGTGCCCTCTCGCAGTCTGGGATCCGTCGGGAGATAATGACCTGCTGGCTTAGGCCTGCTCCCGGGTGGCAGAGGGCAGGCCCAATCCCTAGGTGCAGCCCCTGGTCGGGCTCAGAGCAGGGCCGATTGGGGAGTTGGGGCGCCGCCCCTGTCATGCACAGAGCAGGGCGGATCGGGAGGTTGCAATGCCACCCCTAGTCACGCTCAGGGTACGGCCTATTGGGGGGTTGGGACACCGCCCCCTGTCACACTCAAGGCAGGGTCGATGGGGAGGTTGCGGCGCCACCCCGTCACGCACAGAGCAGGGCCGATCAGGGGGTTGGGGCGCTGCCCCCTATCATGCACAGAGCAGGGCCCATCAGGGGGTTGGGGAGCTCCCCCCTGTCATGCACAGAGCAGGGCCGATCAGGGGGTTGAGGAGCTCCCCCCTATCATGCACAGAGCAGGGCCCATCAGGGGGTTGGGGAGCTCCCCCTGTCACTCACAGAGTAGGGCCAATAGGGGAGTTGTGGCACGCCCCTTGTCACAACACAGAGCAGGGCGGATCAGGGGTGGGCGCGACCTCTATCACCCACAGAGCAGGCCCGATCAGGCGGTTGGG